AGAACTAATCAGTAAGGCGTTTCATTAAATGAATACAAGTGATCTATTTGACTTTTTTTGTTTCATTAGCACACTTTGTGTTGTATCATTTCAATTTTGCCAATACTTGAGACAAAACATAACATATTATAACATGCAGCTACCAAACCATAAAATCCATCTATATTGAACTATATATGTCTTATTTTATACATTATATATATGTCACTGAATTGATTTTCTCAATTTGAAAGTAAGTAAGAGCCTTAAAATGTTTTCTGTTGATGATGTACAAACTTTAGTTTACACAAACTTAGATTATGTAAATTACACTAGTGATTTTTTAGGGTAGTACCCTTTCTTCAGATACTGGGCCCCCAAATGCAGCTGAAGGAAGTTACTACCTGTACATAGAGGCGACAGGACCTGTACCGGGGGCTAAGGCTGTACTTACAACAGAATCAACTAGCTTAACGGGTAGGCTGTTGTTGAAAATTGAAAATAGCACTTTATGAACTATGAGTCCGAAGCGGTTTTCTATACTGTGGATTCATTTATTTTCGAGGTTATCAACTTTCGTGGATTGATGAAGACTTATATTTTCGTGGCTTTTGCAATGATTGCAAACATTCCTTTAGAAAAAAATGTTATTCATTGAACATTTAAATTCGTGGTTTTCGAGTACCCACGAAATCCATGAAAATTAGTATCCAACGAATATTAATGAATATACAGTATTTATCCTTTTAAAAATATTTAAAATCAAATATTTGACTACAAATTTAAATGAACCGAAACGCATAAAGAGTTACATGGACATAGGTGTCCTAAAAATAAATAAAAGGTCATCTGTGCAAGAAGGAGTTGGAACTCTAGTTTCTTAATAATTTTGTAATTCATAAATATACAGTTTAAGAATTTCAAAGGTATCATTGAATTCGTCGCAATTGAAGTTATATTATTTAAATACAGCTGTTAAAAGACTGAACAATAAATTGTTTAGTCATTTTCAGCCTTTCAGTCAACTTTCATACTTATTAACCTTCAGTCAACATTCAGACTTATAAACTATGTAACTACGAAAATTCGATTTTTTGCTGCTCACAAGGAAGCTTTTAAACCAAGAGTTCCAAATGGTGAAGTAGAAATCATCCCTTCGTAAATTTTACGGACGCCATCACAAGTTGGTTGACCGTTATGGAATATCCGTTTGACATATGATATAGGATATGTTCCTTATGTCGTAACTACACTCCCGTTCCTTTTTCACGAATGTTACCTACCGAATAAGACTATTTATCGGGTTTGTAATAACATGAGCAACACGACGGGTGCCACATGTAGAACAGGATCTGCTTACCCTTCCAGAGCACCTGAGATCGACCCAAGTTCTTGGTGGGGTTCGTGTTTCGTAGTCTTTATTTTTCTATGTTGTGTCTTGTTTACTTTTATTTGTCAATTTGTCTTTTTCTTTTTAAGCCATGGCGTTGTCAGTTTATTTTCAATATATGAGTTTGAATGTCCCTCTGGTATCTTTCGCCCCTTTTTTCCAACTATTTGTTCACAGTCAAATAAGATACACCCAAGCTTGACTGTGGAAAAAATATGGTCTGCACAGGTCTTTTTCAAGACGACAGTAAAATCCAAAGTGGGCGTCTGTTTGGCTGTGCGTATACGTAGCCACGTCCGGTCAGAATGGGGACGATAAATTTGATGACTCGTGTAGAGATAATGCCATGCTCTCTGCACGTTAGGAATCATTGCAAATACTCTTTGCGGGGTCCGTATGTTACCTGTTGCAATGCAAAATTTTTCCGAACTTCATCCCGGACGGCCTGCATCACAAGACCTACCTATTGTGTTTATTGTTAATTTGTTCTCGTCCTGAACTGGACATTAAGCAACCAACAATCAATCAATCAAATAAGATCTCTTAAGTCGTTGTTCAGACTTTTATTTAAACTAAACATATCCACAACATACTTACATATTTCAACCAAAATTGTCTCAAAATTGACTGCAAGGGAATTTTCTTAACAGTTCTGAATTTATCGATGTGAACAAATCTGAAAATTTATTGACAGACTTAACATTGCTCAATAACTTTCCGTTTAGACCTAAGATCTAAATGGCCATGTACGTTAAACCTCGTTTACAACTGTTACTAGGGCGGAGGGTAAATCATGATATAGCTTAATTCGCAACTGGAGATACCGATTTGAAAATGATGTTGTTATAAAAACGATGGTAGCAGGAGACTTCGTTTAGCTCATCCGGTAGATTTGTTCATTTAACGTTAAATATCATAAAATGAACAGATATGATGTAGGACATTGGCGTACTCAAAGAAAATCACTACGTAGAGTTTGTTTCAGCTGGCTTACTGATAATGTGGACTCTTAGTTTATATACACTGCGTTGTCAGCACTGGAGATTTAAGCATACAATTTAATTCACTACTGAGAAACTAACTGAAACATTGTGACAGTACAAGTGTAGCCTCTTATTAAATATACACACAGGCATCCGCACTAGGTGTTAATCGGAATAAACTGTTCACACGACTATGGATTCTTACTTAGAAGGTAGTCCATTGTATAATATTATATAAGAGTGAATTGGATCAATATATACTCCCGACAAACGCTACTTCTTTACGAGTAGACCATTGTTAAATATATTGAAAGAATGTTTTAAAAGCCTTGTGCATGATAGAGACCCTGTAATTAGCCCTATTAAAGTCTTCAGCACCAACCTGTCAGCTGTAATACCACCATGGTTTTTCTCCTATAGGTATGTGTTTAATTTGCACTTTTCATAAAATTGTGCAGAATTTATCTTCGTTTCGAAATAAAAAGATAATTGACATGAGTAAAGTTTTATATTCGCCAGTACTATAGACAATATTTCACATGACATTTTATTACATATACGAAAACAGACATCACTGGAAGCTAACCAATCCAATTTGCATCCCTTTTGTTTCCTGTTTACAAGCTTTAGTAACCATGTAACCTTAAGTTTTCAAAATATTCTAAAGAAACACCAAATTAAAGATTATATGTTAACTTTTTGACTTAGATTTTTTTTTACTGCAATGAAATGTAGGATTAACATGATTAATTTCCTACAACTGTCAAATTCAAGGGAATATGTTTTCAACCATTTTTCGTATGCAACCGGATGTGACGTACTTGATTTGGCGTTATAACACCTAAAGAAGACCTTTTTTGTTGAATACACTGAATGTGATTTGTTTCTTTGTAATACTGGTTATTTCAAACATTACTGTCATGTTTTGTCATAACAAATATGTTTATCACACCTGCAAGACTAGTAACAGACCAACGATTTTAATTTAGACATTGAACTGTTGAGATTGATAAATTTCAAAGATAATGGGTAAAAGTGTTTTTACATATTTTTCATTGAATAAAAAAAAAATACCCAGTTGATTTTCTGAATAAAATTTTGGGAAAATCTTTCATGACATTTCAATGTGTTGTTTGTCGATACTGTATTTTACTAGTCATCTCCAGTGAAATGGGACCAAGTATACGAGGAATAGTGATTACAACAAGGGTAGAACTTATTGAAACAGTAATCATTACACAGTTACTGAATTTGGTAAAAAAAAGGAAAGTACAATAAATTACAGAACATCTTTGTGCATTTCTTTTTGAATAATTCTATGTTTATATTGCATAGTTACGATGAAATTCTTGATCTCTTTACAGTTTAAATCCGTTTTATCATTTCAGCAACTAGTTACTGTCTGTCATTCCAGTATCATATGATGGGGGATCCGGGATCATTAAAAGTATATGCTGGGGACAAATCATCTTCTTTGACGAGTATCTGGGAGAAGATTGGAGTGCAACTCGATGATACCCAGTGGAAAACTGCTACTGTAGACATACCACAATTTAGCAATCCTGTTGTAAGTATCCTTTCATTTTATCAGTAAATAATTTAAATCTGGATGTCACACGTCTTCTGATTGACTGAAAGTTTTTTGTCATGAGCTCATAGACATAATTTTTTTCATGTATTCGTGACGTCATCAACTGTTTTTCAATATTTACTCCGAGAAAATGGAATTTAGAGTAAAATTATAAAGAAGCACTGTTTTTTTTCTGTATATTCGAAATAACCTAACAAATGTGGTGCACACTTTTTAACAACCTGCTTAGCAAGTTATTTGACAAAAAAATATTACAGTCATTTCTTAAATAGTGCCCATTTCATTTGAACATTTCCAATATTCTGTATTTTCAAGAAGCACCCGATCCGCTGTATTACTGAATATATTACATGTAGGCTTTCATTTTTATAAATTGTGCACAAGGATCTATTTATTTCAGTGACAAATGGAAATAAATTAGATATAATAAGTTCATGTCGTGTCAATCATCTCCCAGTTAACAAATGTGATTACTTGTGAGAACATTTTTCGTGTGATTTATTTTTGCTAAATTCGCAGTTGATATATAAAGACAAAACAAAAACTCGTGTAAGGATGATTAAAGACATACCGATTAGAAAAAAGTTAAATAACAAACATACTGAACTCAAAGGAAATAAATATGTATATAAAACCCTATACAGACCTCATTTACAACTGATCAATTAAGGTTGTATATATTTGATGATTTTAATGTGTCAGTAATCATGAAATAGATTACAGAATAACTGATAACAGACAAACAGGTACTTTTGTTCTTGTTAATGACTACACAATATTGTTCTTATGGTTCTGTTAGATATTTCACATGATGTAGTCAGTATAATAAAACAATAGTACATGTTATTATATATACATACCACAGGGTCGAATTATTCTTATTAGAGAAGTATCATAATGATTAAAAAGACAATTTGCCTAGGACTTGTTTAGTTAATACATGAAAGTGAGAAAAAAAAAGACAATTGAAAGAAAGATTATTGTGTCAAAATTATAGAATGAAGTTGTATCTTTGCAACATGTGTAAAGCAATATTGTTTTTTTTTTTCAGATCACCATAGAAGCGACCAGAGGTCCGTCATTTATGAGTGACATTTCTATTGATGGTCTTACTCTCAATCCTGGTGTATGTAGTAAGTGCTACATATGATTATCATTTATATAACCAAACCCTTTTTGATACAAGTTAAAGAATGCGGCTGTCTCCAGTCGGTAGCCTGTGTTTCAGTGGTTGTCGTTGGTTCACATCTGTCATATTTGTTTTTCGAAGTGTTTTGATATAACTAAGCAGTTAGTTCTCTCATTTGAACTGTATCACATTTATCATGTCGGGGCTTTTTATAGCAGAATATACTATGTGTATTGTTCTTATTGGTGATGGCCGTAGGATACCTATAACTGCTTTCTACCACTTCATTTGAACTTCGGTTGATAGTTGTCTCATTGGTAATCATACTAAATCTCCTTATTTTATAATGAATGATTTGGTTTATCAACGGTTGTTGGAACGGTTGGTGTTGATTCAGTACATTACAGCTGACTTTCAAATTGTTTACAAGCAATGAGTGGTTCCTGGATAACGTAACATGTGTAATAACTTATTCGGTTTGAACTAACATGCGCAAAAGGAGCAGGATATGTCTACCCTTCCGCCGCCCTTGAGATCACCCAAAGTTTTTGGTGGGGTTTGTGTTGCTCAGTCTTTAGTTTTCTATGTTGAGTTTTGTGCACTACTGTTTGTCTGTTTGTCTTTTTCTTTTTAAGCCATGTCGTTGTTCGACTTATGAGTTTGAATGTCCCTTTGGTATTTGACGCCTCTGTTTAAATTAAAAGAAACCAGTTATGTTCTGCATTGTACATGTATCACCTTTATATATAAAATTGAGAATGGAAACGGGGAATGTGTCAAAGAGACAACAACCCGACCACAGAACAGACAACAGCAGAAGGCCACCAACAGGTCTTCAATGCAGCGAGAAATTCCCGCACCCGGAGGCGTCCTTCAGCTTGCCCCTAAACATATATATATACTAGTTCAGTGATAATGAACGCCATACTAAACTCCAAATTGTACACAAGAAACTAAAATTAAAAATAATACAAGACTAACAAAGGCTAGAGGCCAATTTTCAAACTATGTGCAAAGTCTTGCAATGAAACACCACCGTTAGGAAGCCAAAAGCTACTAAACATAACCTGTGGTTTTCTGGAAATCGTAAATAAGTATACAATAGATTACATTAATTCTATACTCAAATTTCTTTTAAAAACAATTAAATTTGGGCTCAAAATGGTTTACATTTATTTCTTTCATTAAAAGGTTCATTTCTGCAAATTTGTTTGTTAGTTTAAGTAAACAATGACATCAAAACCACTATTTTGTGACAAGGAATGGCTTCTTTCACATATGTTCTAAATTTAAGTGGGTGAATTGGTGGTCTGACACCTAAATTACCATGTGTAATAACTCATTCTGCCCCAAGTAAGGGGCCGGTTCCAGACCATGAGTCGACTTCTAATGTGTAGATAAAACAATTTGAGTGGTTCTTGGATAAAGTAATGAATCATAATGTAGTAATTCAGGGGCCCTTACCAGGCCATGAGTCGATTTCGAAGTGTTAATTAACAAAATGAGAGGTTCCTAGATTACACTTTATGTGCAATAACTCATTCTGTACCTAATCAGGTGACCGTACCAGGCCATTAGTTCACTTTCGAGGTGTAATAAAAAAAGAGTGGTTCCTGGACAAAATAACTGTGTAATAACTCAACTGTCAATACGCTATTATCAATTAGTCGAAGACAGTTACACCCCCTTATATTCGACAGATGTGCCTAGGGTCTTATAAAGGAATAACATATTTATTTTAGGTTATGTCATTATATTAAATTCGAGTCATATGAAAATATCGATTTATCTTATATTGATGCAAACAGAGTCAATGTTGTACTGTGCATGTTATTCTGCATAAGGTGTCATAGTTTTAAAGTGTTATACTAGTACATTATATTTCTAATAGAACAGAGAACGATAACAGGCGCATAATTTAATATGCTAATACAATTTTGTCTCATCTGTGACGAACAAAACTGAAGCAGCACTTTGTCTGTTTGTGGTATTATCGAAAACATTTGTTAAGATATATAAAAGGGTATCACCATTTAGGCACATCTCTGTATTTACAGTTTGGAATAGAAAAAAACACACGAGCAACATAAGAAATATCGTTATACATACATGAATTAAGATATAACAGTTATGTGTTAGGAAGCAACAGTTGAATCTCTTTCTACAGAACTTCGCCTTGTACAGTTGTGAATTAGACTCCCGATGTATAAGTTGAGTACAATTTATAATTTGTACAGGTGATTTGTACAAGTTATCAGTAATTTGGCACGTACCTTCTTTTAACATTTTTTTCAAAAATTAAAAAAAAACAGTATAATTTTGTACTAACAAATATACTTTGATTTAACTTTAAGCATCGCCTTCTTTGTCATAAAGCTTCAAATTAGTCAACTGAATGGTTTATATTCTTTGTTTTCTGTTCACTTATACCTCATCTACATTATATATTTGAGAATGCTTATATCACTCTTCATTAGTGTTATTTAATGAGATTGTAGCATGTAGTCATGAATATATGACATTGGTGAGATAGACCAAAGACAGTGATCATGTATAATCCAGTTATGTTACGAGATTCACAATTTTCTGAGAACTTGTACGCACATTTTTAATAATATGTTCAATATCCCATTACAATTAATCAAATCAAATACAAAAAAGGTTCTATTATCTATTTAGGAAAATTGTATTAAACCCTTTCTCTCTTTTCAGACTAGGAAATAAAAACAGAACAAAGAAAGTCTTAACAGTTTAAATGATCGTGTAACAGTTACTTTGTACTGTATAATGATCATGTGATATGTGGGTAATTTTGTACATAATAATGATCATGTGATATTCACAATGACTTTTACATTATGATGATTAAGTGGTATTCAGTAACTTGTACATTTTGATTATCATGTGATATTCATAATGAGTTGAACACCAAAAAGATCATATAATATTAAGTTATATGATAGCAGCTCTTACAAATAATCAAAATAGGTCAATCAAAACAGAGTTTTATTAGTTAAGGCTTTTCATGTCATGCCTCATAAAGTGGTTGCATTATTTTATATGTCCCTACGTCTGTTCATGCCCAATGTATTTGAAGGAATAACGATGCGATCAATATTAAAAGGTTATCAAAATTATCGGGTTTGTATTAACATTTTGTGGGTGTCACAAAAAAAGCAGAATCAGTGTTCCGTTCTGAAACACCTGCAATGACTCACATATTTTCTCAGTTGTTGTTTTCCGTTTTGAATGTGTCAGTTCTTTTTTCGGTTCATGAGTTTGAATGTCCTTTTGGGATGTTTTGTTTCTCTTTTATCATAAAATCAAGAGTGTGTATGTCCCTTTTGTATCTTTTGCCTCTCTTGCATGTTCAGAGCTTTCTTTTGTTTAAATTGTCAGGATTCTGCCTATATGTAGCAGTTCATTGACGTTTATTTTCTCATGCTTTTCTTTTATTTGCAAGTAATTGGAATTTGGTAACTCACAAACCATGTTAATCACACCTTGTTTTTAACCCAATGTCAATAAATATTAAAGCGGTGTATTTATATTGTGTAAATTGAACACTAATTAATATTTGTTTTGTCAGCTATAACAAAAGTTGTTCCAACACAGTGGGATTTTGATTGCGATTGATTAATGGGAAAGGTGTATGTGCATTACATATACCAATAGATTTGTGTATTTGAGGTTGATTTGTGTGGTTGATGTGTGATGCATCACCTTTTACTAAAATGTTCTATTAACTTATCCGATGAAATTGTCATGGGATTTTGTTTAGTTTAAGCCTTCATAATTCAGAGTTATTGTGTGGTTGATGTGTGTCGCATTGACGTTTAACTGATATATTACTTCAACTGATGTGAAGGTCATGTATGTTTTTGTTAAAGCGAATCCTTCATCATTCGAAGTTATCAAAAACCTTTTTTTTCCTAGGATTAGCATGGCAAATTTAAAAAAAAAAACTCATCTGCATACCAATAAGTTTTCTGGATTTATTCATCATTTGTGGCATCCATTCAGTCTTTTATTGGTTTGTAGTCTCGAGTCAGCATTGTATCATTGTGCGAGTGTATTTTGTGTGTGTAATGGTGGTGTCGTTAGTAAGTATTTCGACTGTATTCTAATTTTTTCCCCATGAAAAGTAGTGCCGCAGTCAAATTACCATGCAATTCAGTGACCACGAGTCGAACATATCATTTCAAAAACCGGACAGGGGTTAAATTTATAACATTGTTATTTGATCTCCCAAGTAAATTTGAGCCCCCTGTATTTCATATAAAGTATTGAAGAATGACATAGGTACAATATTTTGGAGAGGGAGTTCAATTTTCCATTGAAGGGGATCAAAATAAAATAGGAAAGTGCTTAACATCTTTTCGGACATATGTTTTTCATTTAAGATAGCAATTGATCCTTTATAAATAGATACTAAAGGGTTTGGTCATTAGAAATTCTGACTTCTGAAAGAGGTTGTTCATTCTTTTATGGTAAAGGGTCTAGTTGATGCGGAAATTGTGCATCTAAGGTTCAATGGTAGGGGTCAAACTACTGTAGATAATTATTTCATCAAAAATTTCATAAAACAATGATGATTTGATATTTCGAAATTTCAAAAAGAGAGGAGATCCAAATACCATGATTTAGAAGAAGTATACATGTACCTTTTCCAAAATGTATTTTCATTCTAGTTACTTGTATAGATGCAGCTATCTTGATGATGTACTTACTGTTGATATTTCCGAGTTTATTAACCATGAATAATGTATTCATTAATAAAGCTTAAGATTATATATTCGTTTCTATTATTCTTACTGTATTGTTACGAAATCAAGGCGCGGAGTCGGGGTCATACATATTTAATTTAGCATATACTATTCAGCATATATTAACTCCAGTTTATAATAAAGTTAAATAATTCAATTTAGAATATGCTGAATTACTTTAGGCATAACCTGAATAATTCAGCTTATTCAGAAATATTTTTGCCTATGATGAAATAAAAAAAAAATCTACAAATGACAGTATTTGATATTTGATACAAACAATGCTGTCAGTATTCAGTTTAAGACTTAAGACGTTGGTAAACAATCACTGAGAAAGCAGTTTGTAAAAAAAAATTGAAAACTGTACGTGGTTAAATTTTTCTATTGATTGTTTTCATTATATTGCATTTTAAAAATTACTATAAAATATAGAATCTTTATATAAAACGGATAAATGTACATGCGTTTTCTCCCTTTTATGAATTATAATTTATATTCTATTGGTTAAATCAAGTATAACAGTAAAGCAACATTCCAGCAGCGCCTGGATTATTTATCTCTCAGTATACGATATTCCAGAGCTTGCATTTCCTATCAGGATTTCCTTTATAGAGGGTTGCTGCTCACATGAAGCTATTGAACCAAGATATCCAAGTGGAGAAGTTGAAATCATCCTTTCGAAACTTTTACGGACGATACCAATAGCAGGTCGACAGTTTTGTAATATATGTTTTAAAGATGACAACTGGTATGTTCCAATTGTCTTAACCACAATCCCGTCCTCCTTTGTTTTGAATGTGAATTACCAAATTATACTTAAAACCGGGTTTGTAATACCAGGAGAAACACGACGGACGCCACATGTGGAACAGAATCTGCTCACACTTCCGGAGCACCTGAGATCATCCTCGGTTTTGGTGGGAACGGTTCTTTAACATAACCCTGGTTCATCAACTTTCTGCTCAGACACTGGTGACGTTTTATAAAGTCTGAGTAGCAGCTGGAAGCTCTTGAATACCGAATGAGTTGGGGAATGTATATCCCATATGCAAGTGAAGTTGGTATTTTGCTGCTAAGGTGGGGAAAATATAATTTCAAATGTAAAGTCGTCTCGTTTTTCATTGATTCTGGTACTGAGATGACCGCTTTTGTCAAATTCGAGATATAAGTCTAAAAAGGAGGCGGAGAAAGCCCTGTCTGTTTTCTTTATTTTCTAGTTCTGGATGATATATAAATGGAGCCCAATCAGAAAGGTTTGGATTGTTATGGAAAAAACGTAATCAATATAAATAAACTCATCATAGATACCAGGATTGAAATTTTGTATTTGCGCCAGACTCGCGTTTCGTCTACAAAGGACTCATCAGTGACGCTCGAATAAAAAAAGTTCAAAAGGCCAAATAAAGTACGAAGTTGAAGAGCATTGAGGACCAAAAATTCCTAACTGAATGTGAAATTAAATGATCTGCCTCCTTTGATCTTCGTGTTTTTGACAAGTGTCTGAAGGAACTCCGACTCATAAGAAAATAAGAAAAGATCGGCAAGGAGAGGCGCACAGTTTGTTTCCATTGAAATGTGGACAATTTGTTGAAAAAGTATACCACCAAATTCAACAAATATTTTGTCAATAAGAAACTCCAGCATACTTATCACCTGTTCCTCGGTGTATCATGTTTAACCTTTTTGTTCACGAGATTTAAAATCATATAGAAATTCTTAAGAGTTTTTTCGAATCCACATATGGTTAATACAACTACGCGAGTAAACAATTTCACAGTATTTCATAAGACTTTCTTTCACTGAAGAATAATGTTTGTCAATCTAATGGAAAATTCCTTTGTAGAACATGTAGATAAGCTGACAATGTACTGCTGTTTGTACGGAATTTTGTGAAGCTTAGGTATCCAATACAAATAAGTTAAGTCCTCAGATTTGTTGTTCAATGTAATGTTTATTGAAGCCATGAAGGACTTATGATTCGCCAAAATCTCATCCTTGTCAAATGGTTTGTTTTCGTATGTGGGATTACCTGAGTGCTCATTTATTCCTAATTCTTTTACAAGACACTCGTAGTAGTACCATTTCCATACAAGAACAATATGATTTGAAGTTTTCATTGTTCAAACATTTTTAGTCATACATGTATCTCTTTTTATCATATAAAATTCAAGAACTTATAATTACAAATATCAGTACACATTAATGAATGCAGAAATCAATTTAATTTGCGGAAACATATCTTCACAAGATTTGAAAGATGGTAACGTAAAATTATTTTTGGAAAAGGATATTTAAAAGTAAAGTTGTGCCTTTTTAATTTGAAATTACAAAAAACTGTAAAATGTATAATGACTTAAAAGAAGAGTAATTTGTCATTTTCTGTGAAAGTAAATATTTTTGTACACCACTACGCTAAATTGAAACATTGGGGGACAAATCATGCTTTCACAATGCCGAAAACTTGGAAAATGTCATATTTCGATTGAACTCCAGTGAAAAATTGATATATTTATCATTTTCGTTGCAGTACACTTATGAAGAGATTTACAAAAAATGCCACATTTTGATTAAAACAATTATCATTTTAGGGTTGAAGCATACTTTTCAAATGAAAAATTTAAGAAAACTGGAAAAATGTGATGAGTTTGAGCTGTTACATCTCTTACATCTCAGGGTAAAAAGTCATCAAAGATATAGAGGAATTATATGGAATTTTTGGCGCTCAGTGCCCTTCAACTTCGTACTTTATTTTGGCCTTATAACTTTTTTTTATTCAAGCGTCACTTGTGAGTTTTGTGCAGTCGCAACACACGTCAAAATTACAAAACTATTATACTTGTATCTTCGATGAGGTTTTTTAAGTACGCCAAATTGGCGTTTCGTCCATTCAGAACACATTAATAACATCCGAAACACATTAGTAACATTCGAATCAAAACTGTTGAAAGGCCTAATCAACTACGAACTTGGAGATGTTGAAAATAGAAAAACAAAAACATTATATAATTTTGGGGAAATCTTTTTTAATATTTTAGTTAACTGAAATACAATTTGTTTACAACTATGAATGATCATATCTAATTGGTAAAATTGATTGATTGATAGTTGGTTGCTTAACGTCCTTTAATTGGTAAAAGGCAACTGATACTTTCAAATATGAATTAAAAAAGTGCCTAAAAATATCTCTCTTATTAAAGCATTTTCAACCATCAAATTAACAATATCATTTGTGTTGTGCGCAATTACATGGCATGAACTAATTTCAGTTCAATGGTTATGAAAGCATACATCGACTTTTCTCTCTTTTCCGTAGGCGCATATTTTGTTCCATTTTAATTTGCTTGTTTTAGTTGCCAGACAAGTTTTGTATTGTTTGATTGGAAAGCTCTTTAATTAGTGGGATATTAAGATAAATTGTTCTTGTTAGAATTGACGAGGGAAGAAAATTCTTCTTTCAGATAGAAAGTTTGTTTATTCATTCAGGCATTTGAAAATATAACATTTAATTTCTTATAGTGAATTGGGTATTCTAGATTAATTTTGAAAAACGAACACCCTAAATTTTGTTGGTGTATAGGTTATTACGGTTCGTCGGAAATAATTGTACTAATTAGTTTACTGATTATAAATGCACAATTTTAAAATAATATAAACTTACATCAGACGCAACTGTGTCCATCTCAAGTTTTGGAGAAATTTTGGGTGGCTCAATATTAAATTTCCTTTTCCTATATTGCGTTTTATAAGTTGATGATTGTCCGTTTATTTTATCATTGTGGTATAAATAAATCAGAGGACGTGGTACATGTATAATTGGCAATGAACAACAACCCTCAACAAGATTCCAAATGACATACCTCGGTGTCAACCTTCCTTTGACTTATCGTTATTGATTGGAACTTTGGTATCGTGTATCTGATTTAAAAAAAAAAAAATTCTCGATCTACACTACCACCAACTGCACCCCACCTTCAAACAAAAATGTTCATCTTTAACCAGTATGTTAAAAGGTTCATTTCAGGGTGAAAGAAGTGGCACATTTTGCCGATACGACAGCATTACCTGCAATAATCAATAATCCAACTGAAATCAAGCACTAATAAATATATGCTTTACCTGAAAGTGAAACTATCGTTTGGATATGAAGCGGCTTGAAAAACTATTCCATAAAAAATAATTGATAGGCAGTCTTAAAGTCAACGTTCAAAGATATCAATTTGCAGTTTCAGAATCTAAAACACTATTAATCAGTAATGAGTAATTGGGTATTTGTATGGGTAATTTCATTTTTTGTACATAAAAAATGAAAATAACGTGAAACCATTGGTCTTATCATGTCTTTGGACTGTTTATAAAAATCCCAATGATTTTGCGAAAGCTTTCGCACATATTACCCATAATGTTGATGGTTTCAAAAAAAAGAATTGTCGTACATTCAACACTGTTCAGTTTTAGTTCTTTTAAAACCAAATTATTAATTTTCTGTAACCTTTGAACAAAGACAAGTTAAAACTTAGTGTTCTTAAAATAAACAGTAGAACACATGATTGACTGTATCAAAAACTGTGAACTTTACTACATATATAAATCCTCCCTGCAATTATCAGAAAAAGAAATAGGACGGATAGATAAATGTTTCATGTTTGCAAATAGGTTATGCAAATTTAAGAAATTACAATGCTACAAGAAAACTATTAAATCAAAAGTTCCAAGTGGTGGACATGGTAAAGTTGAAATCATCTTTTCGTTAATTTTATCGATGCCATCACGAGTTAGTTGACCGTTATGGAATATCTGTTTCACAGACGTCGACGAATGTGTTCCATTTGACTTAACTACAATCTCGTCCCCTTCCGCCGAATGCATTTTCGCTAGCCAAGTGTTACGATCCAGTCCCGTTGTTTCCACCCTTGGCGGATCGAGATAGAATTTTGGATCCACGAAGTAATGATTTCCATTGGTAGCAGTTGTAACTGGCCGCATCCAAGCATAAAGAGCCTTTAAGATGATCACGTGTAACTTTAAAA